ACGTGTCCAAAAGCGATAACATTTGCATGTTGCTAAAAAATAGTCATTTACAGTATTAGCCATCTTTCTCTCGATATAGCGGCATCATCGTCAATCAGATGATATGCTGAAATTTTATTTCTCATAGTAAACTCGGCCCATCCCGCTGTCCAAAGTTGCGGACCTGATCAATCCATTTTCTACATACTATAATTACCATCCACAGGTGCTTTGTTCCACCGATATTAAATCCTAACTCGTTCAGCAGAGGAAACGCACGGGAACGTTACAGTTGGCGTCTTATTGTGTGGCAGTTTGGGAGAAATGCCGCATGCATGCATTTTATGTTCGTTGCTAAGTCTACCGTACCATTATTTTCTCCGCTGAACGGAGAACCGTTGGAAGAAAATATGGCCCGCCAACTTGTGCGAGCGAATGTGTCTTTATAGCTTTTTCATGATCCATTGATCTCCGCGTCGCGTCGTCATCATCGTCGTCCACCGGAATCGTCACACCGCTAGCTAGTTGCGTATCGTTCAATTTCACCGGTCCATGAACGGCAGTTACCACAATAAGAGAATTCCCTCTTGGAAAGCCTTATATTCATTGGATCTTTTGACAGCCCAACTTTCCGTGTTTGCTACTTTGAACGCAATCTCTCTGATCGTCGCGTCCGTCGTCCGTCGCGACCGACTCGTTGGTGTGGCGGAAATCGTTTGGACGGATATTTAAATACAGATAATTTCGTCGATTTCTTTGGTGAGCTCCAAATTTGAGACTTTAAAGACTATTTACCTTTGATTTCTATACGTGTGCCTGCATTCGTTATGGGAAGTGACCGACCGGACTTCGAGAAGAAAAGCGAAAATAAATCTTTCACGGAGTAACGAATTTAATTGACGATCACCAGACGATCGGATGCCTCCCGGTCCAGCCAATAATTGTAGATTCAAAAAATCCGTGGGCTGGGATTATGTATAGATATCATCGGTAAATTATTTGTTTTGGGAATCTGTTAATAGTAGTGTTGTGGGATTGTTTTTCATTAATCCAGTCTGAGCCGTCTTTCCTCTCTGAACAGAGAAGAAAATTAACAGTTTGGGTTCAGATTGGGCAGTAGCTCTCCGTTCATTGAAGTGAAATATGTTCAGCTCCCGCTCAGAATGATCGACGCCATTATATTTGAACCTGATGATGGATCGCCTGAACGATTGTTTGCAGCTTTTACGGTGAAAAAATAGTTGGCAAGTGTATCTTGTCATTAGCGTTGTTGTCACTCACACCCACTCAAGGTGGATTACCATCTATAAACGATCATGTTTCGTAGTTACGGAGTGGCAGTTTTTCTACTTTGAATGATTTTTCTCTTGCTACCTGCTTGCTGTGAGGAATAAGTGGGCGAACTTTTGGCGATCTGTAATCGTTTTGACGAACAGTGCTTTTGTTTATTCACCGTTTATTGCTTTCATGATTACATGTTTTCACAAATACCTGTTGAAAGTGGGTCAGCACTCAGTGTAAAGTTTACTTTTCGAAGAGTCATATTTATTTCACTTTTAGCTCAGTTGATCACATCCTATTTTCCGCACCCACACCGTAAGGGTTGCCATCCAGAAAGCATGTATTAGTACCGTCCCAATGCCGCGTTCATCTAGATAAAATTGATAAATGGCAGATTTTTAGCGATGGGCCCAATCTTAGATCCATAGGCCAATATTAGAGCCATTTCCCATATATATTGTAGGAATGTATGACAGTAAGTAAATTCGCTAATTAAAATTTATTTTCAACGAATTATTGACAGTGTCCGTCTTGCCCTGGTGATTAACTATTTACAAAAATGCTTTTATTTGCAAGCCTAATATCATAATTAAAACTACTAGTTTCACCAAGCTATCTAGAAGAGGTCCAGGAACAGGACAGTAGCCTATGTTGTAAGCATTTTGCTGTTTAGGTGTTTTGCAACCATAGGAATTGTGTATCGAAATTTACATCACATCTCCGCCTGAGAAATAACTTTTTGTTTTTGATTATATTTTACATTTGTCAGCTCCAGTTATAAGTAGCATGTTGTGTAATGCATTAAATATCGTTAAATGAGAGTGGGTATTATCAAAATTCGACTATTCAATAGTTAAGCCTTCAAACAATTAGTTGTCCGTGCTACCCCCACTGTCCGTCTTACCCCAAATACTCTTATCAAATATAAATCTTGACGCCATCGATGTATTGAATCAAAATGTCATTGTATTGAAATATCATATGGTTAACGAAAAAGCAAAAAAAAAAAAGAGTTTTATTGACAAACATAACTGTTTATAAAATGTTATATTTTAACAAATATCAATCGGCATATTCCATTCCCTCGGTTTGGTCACCGTTGCACCTATTTAAAAAAAAATACACACTTTAAAGGTATGGAATAGCCATATAAAAGGTATTCGAGGTAAGACCGACAGTTGGGATAAAATGGACAGTTGATTGTTTTGTGGTTTAACTATTCAATTATAGGTGTTGTCACGTCCACTGAGTTGGGCGAAAAGTTCAACTCACTTTAAATAATTCAACTTCTCTTCCTCATTATGCTCCGAATGCGTCTTGAGCATCCCTAGCCATGCACATCGAAGACTTTGTTTGTTAGCGTTCGCTTGGATAATATATAGATCTAGTAGTAGTTAATTAATAATATAGTAGCAATACTTTCTCACATATCCGAACATGGCCATCCGAGCAGGAGAAAATAACTTCAGAACACCTAATTCTGTCCCTGATACCACACTTTCGGTGTCGATCGTACTGACAGAAGAGGTAAAATACCAAAGAATAATACCAACAAATTGCATGCAAAATACTTTGATAATATTAAAAAAATGTATATGTTGATACCGAAAGAATACCTGCGTGGTATTGTTTTGGAATTGAAATTTCATAATTTGATATTGGAATGGAATTGTGGGAACATTTTTTTTTTGTATTTTATACCTATTATGTCATTCTAAATTATACCAATTTAATGTATCGAGATATTCGTTCCTACTTGGGAAATGCAGCCTTCAGTTCTCAATGACCTACGGTAATCATACAGCTATTTCGATTGTTTTTATGATGTAGAAACATTAAACTTTCAAGACTGTCCGTCAACCCCTAGCACCTGTTCGTTTCACCAGAGCATAAAAATGTTTGTTCATTTATTGACTATTTTTGATTTACAGTAATAGTGTTAAATTGGTTTACATATGTACCTGGAAACAATTCCCGGGAAATTTAACAAAATTATCAATTCCCTATACTCGGCAAACTGGTTGCATTTCTTTAGGTATTTTTGAACATCATACAACAATCATTTTCACTGAAAATAGACTACCCAACTTGTCATAGACTGGTTGTGAAAACCTATATGTACCATATAAATCATTATAAACTTACTGCAACTTAATGCGACGGGAATGTGCTATGTTTCCAAGTAGCACCCGGAAAATGTAATGGTTTCATTTTCGAATGGAAATAAGAACCTATCTGGAGAAGCTAATAAAAATTTCTGGAGGGGGGGGAAATTGGAGGATACTACCGCAAAAAGTCAAACCAGTTTCCGGGGGAGCTCTGAAAAAACTTCCAGTGCAAATCAATCTCCAATAGAAACCTGGAATTTATTTCCAGTATAAGTCGGAAGAATAACAAGTAAAAGAGTACTACCCACCACAGTGTACTCACAGATTGCGGTAATATTTTAGCGACGATGTTTTACAATGAGAAATATTCAGTGTGTTATGTCTGTTTGTCTGTGATAATAGGTTGCAATCAGAATGACTGTTTTAACCTATGCACCTATTTCAAAAGTGTAATTAAATAACCCAAAGTTTCTTAATATAACTAAAACTATCTATCATCGCACAGATAGTGATTTAACTTTTTGCTCTAATATTGTAGAAACTTGATGTCTTCAGCAAAATTGCTTACCTTAAAAACCGAACAACTCTTCTCAAGATACCAAAGCTCCACAACAATGCAAAATTCAATGTTTGCTTCAAAATCTGAACTTTTGCTAAGCAACAATATGGTTAAAATCACCTACTCTCGAGAAAATAATGAAAAAACTTCAAAATAAGTGCTTACTTCAACTGCAGATATCTGCAGAAACTATTGGCACCAGTTTTACGCTTTTCAAAACTCGAATACAAATTTTTTTGATTGGAAAGCTATTGCATTAGCTTGAGTCTACCTTCAAAAATAGTAAAAAAGCATTTTCCATGCATCACGTTTAAAAAAAAAGATTAGGACAGTTATATTTAAAATGACCTCACAACTGATTTCGGTATCCTAAAGAATATAGGTAGATAAATGCAGAATGCTACATTTTTTTTTTGTCGCTATATTTTAATCTCGGGCCCATAGTGCTGTGATTAGGAGTTGAAGGTATGGCTTAATGAGAATTATAAATTACTTCACTCAGCATACCCACATAAATAGCCCAAATAATTCAACTTCATCTGACATCATTGAAGTGAGTCCATTGTTGTGTACCTAAAAGCTTGCTGCTGAAACCATTTAAGGATTATATATTACATCAAATTAGACTCCACTAATTTGACCTACCTTCAAGATGGTCACAGCACAGCATGCTTGGATGTTTGAGTTAATGAATGTGTCGCTATTTTTTTACTTTCACTTCACTGGGTCACACGTTCTTCTTAAGTCTGTCCATTGGGAAGGTTTCGCTTCTCATCGTTGCTGCTCAATCAGCCGAAAAAAAGTTATGCTTACCTGTGATAATGCCTCCAGGGTTCGATCGGTTAAATGAGTCATTACCTTGGTCACAGTGGGTAATTGCATGCCTATTCATTGCAACGGCACTTCTATCATTGTTCTTCATCTACCCTCCTGAGGTGCAATCAGAACGCTCGAACCCGAAACAAATCATTTTAATCAGTCATACGCGAACCGTTCGATTTCACGACGGCTAATTATTGTATTTTTTATCCCTGCTAACATCTATTTCTTTTTGATTTACTTGGATCTTTTAGCTTAATTTTGCTGCTAATGTGTGTGCTTTCGACGCTGCAAGCTGCGCCTAATGGTCACCAGAGCGACAGCAGTGCCGAGCTGGTGACGATGAAAGGAAATGAGAACGAAACAGTCAAAACGGCTAAATCATTAACGGCCGTCAGTAGGACCAAGAAATCCAACCTCAAGTCGACACCAATTACCTACATTACTACGCTAGCTGACGCAGCCCATCAGCACCACGTAAAACTGGCACCGAAGAAGTACAACAAACCGATGGCGAAAGCTCGTGATGACAAAGAGCTGCAGCAGCACAAGAAAGTCAAAGGCAAGCATCATCACTCGGAAAAGTCCGCCGGAAAGTCTCTGGCGGTGATGCCGAAAAAGGAATCTTTGAATAATCCAGCACTGCTCAGGTGAGTTGGGTGTAGGGCTGTAAGGAAAAACAGCTATAAAACTTGTGTTGCGAAAATGGGCACGATAAAATTGCGGCACCTGAATACAGGTTGGATTTAATTTGTTAAACAGTGCTCCATAACATTTCAAAAGTGAGCATGTAAAACTGACTGACATTCCTGTCACTTGAATAAGAAATACAGCAAGTGAAATTTGTATGAAGATCTTTGTAAACAGAATAATCTATTAATATATCATTGATTTGTGCTATTCTTGGTGGGGCGTTTTATACACTTCTACCCTATTTTCAAACATAAAGTTATGCATCTTTATAGTCATAATTTAATTTTTAATGGCATTCTTCAATTCATTTGGCAATTTTTTTTAAATCTATTCATTTATTAAGGCTCCATTGCGTTACCTTTGCGGAGTCATATTTCAATGTGAAAACCTTCAATTTTTTATAAAAAATCCACATGAAAAATAGAGGTGGGTTGTCCTCAGTAGGCCAAACAGTTTGTTTTGTAAACTATTTTTGTATACGAATTTTCTGCCATCCAAAACGCTACCATTAACCTCCTGAGGTTGCAACTCCGTGAATGCCATATCACCTGAAATTACACAGAGAACCAACAGATGACTAACTAATATCCTAAACTTGTGACCTCAAACTTTATAATAGACAATAACAGCGTTGGTCGCGTCCGAGTGCCAGTTAATTAAGGAACGGGTAGGAACGTGTTGACATGGTACTCGGATTGTTGGATGCTGAGAAATCCACTGCATTTCTACGATAATCACTGGGATGTTAGATAAAAGGATTATGTTTGCAGCAGGGTTCGTTTTAACAAACGGTGCGCTGATTTAAAATCATTTTCATGTTAAAAAAGAAAGTGACTAGCAAATTTTGATTGAGAAGGGGCCTGAGATCAAACTCATGATATTCTGCTCAGTCAGCAAACATGGTTGCTCTATGGTCTCCGAGCCCCTCATATTACATCATATTGATTTGTTGTTGTAATTAATAAAAACCAGCACCGACGACAAGTTTCACAAAATACACGATGAGCAAGCATTGTGACTATAAATCTCTCTAATATGAAGGGTCCTAGGATTGATCCAACGATTTTATGATCTAAGCAAAAATGGCCCAGTCCGTCATATCACAATACATCACTCATGACTATAGGCGTGCGCATACCTCTTCATTAGGGGGGCCAGCCAATTAATAGGGAGCGTCTTATATCTTAGGTGCTATTGTGGGGCATATTGATTTAAGTGAGACAGAAAGTGGTGTTTGCGCTGTTTTCTGTTTGCGAATAAAACGTTCAAATACTGCATAATGTATTTTTTTTTCCCAACATTTCCAACATGCCTTTTTCCCATAGTGGCAGCTTGCCATGTCCGGCCAGAACAGCACAGGTATATTATGTTGCTTTAGGAATGGTAGCATTCCATTGATTGATGGTTCCCGTAGTAATGAAAATGGCGCTTTTTAGACCACACGTGCATATGGCCTGCCAGACGAGATATGTTTTCTGGAACTTCGATAGTTTGATGGTTTTGAAAATTTCAGCCATCTTATCTTTTCCTGATGCAGTATAAAACTCCTGTCCCAGTTTGGCCACATCCAGCAATTTTGCCAATTTGGCGTGTGAGAACGTCGGATTCTCTTGCTGCACGAGCAAAATTTTGACACACTGCTCCTTTTGCTTGGAAGTCATTTTGAAAACTGGATAGCAAACTAAGAAAACTCATCATAGTAACCATTGTATATACACTCAACTTCCAAATGCAGCATTTCCGGTTTTTTATGCATTTTTAACAGAAATACACCTAAATGAAGTTGACCAATTTTTTCGCGTTCCAGACTTTATGATTACTAAGATTTACAAAATACTCCCAAAGTTTTTATAAATCCTACATTTTTAGGATATTTTCGAGCATATTCTGAGGCGAATTCTGAGGAAATTCTAAAGAAAATTCTTTTCAACATTCCAAAGGACCTTTCATGAAGAAATTAAGCAAATTCTGTCTGGAATGTAGAAAATTGTGAAGTGAATATTTTTTAACATGGAAAAAGAGTTTTCTGCGGAAAAATCCAAGAATGTTTTGGAGAAAGCTTAAAGGGAGAATCCCAAAATTAATTAATAGAATTTTCAAAAGTTTTGGATACTTAAAATAATAAAAAAATCAGAAGGAATTTCCAGGTGAAAAGTATACCATTCCACTACCAAAGGTAAGCAGTAGGACTTCTGAAAGATACTTCAGAGGAAAGTTTGATGAAACTAACGAGAAACTTTGATCTTTGGGCGTAGATGGGAGTTTTTTGAACAATTTTTATGTTGCAGAAAGACGTTCTTTGTTACTATTGATATTTTTGAATTACAGGGTGGCCACCCGTTCAGGAAAAGTGAGAAAAATCTGGGTAACAGTCGAAAATCCGTTTATTCAATCGGGAAATCAGATTTTTTTTTATTTGTATGAATGTAGTCTTTTTTTAATAATGGAACACCCTAATTGAAGAGCAAATTAAATGATAGTTAAATAGAAGGGGAAATGAGTGTCATTTCGGCCTAAATTCCTCTAATTTGAGCCCATAAAAAATTCAGCAAGCGACTAAATTTTCAATAGCGACCAAAAATAACCATGAGTACCGTCCCAATAACGCGTTCAAGCAATCATGAAATTGATAAATAGCAGATTTTTAGCGATGGGCCCAATCTTAGATCCATAGGCCAACATTAGAGCCATTTCCCCTATTCCCCATCTTCTCAAAAATGATTTGTCATCATCATAAAATGAACTTTTAATTGAAACTTCATCAATAGTGATGAAATCGAGCTTCAATTTATTTAGTATCAAAATACACCCAACCGAGTAAAGTAGAATTCTTATACAGCTTTGCATAAAAAAAAATGAAATCTACATTTCTGTTTGAAGAAAATACATTTCTGTCAATTAATAATGATGCATGTTCACTACAGGCTGTTTTGAATACTACCATTAAATTTATCTTAAGAAATATCTATAGAGGACATCAAGTTAAGAGATTTTGTTGTTCTGTGTTAATCGGATTGCTAACTTAGCCAAATTGTGTAAAATTAGATATCAAACTCAGAAATTATTTTAAATATTGAATTTGAAGAATGAGGTCACTAATACACAATTGAGCAAACTTGTCAAAGTTATTAAGTGATGAATTTTGAAGAAGTTTCACTTATTAACATCTAGTGGTGTGTTTCTCAAAACAAAGGAAACCAAAATGATTCTAAAATTTATGAAATAATTTGTCTTTCTAAACTCCTACATTTTTCCCAGCATTTGGAAATGTGTAAGGCAAGAACATTCACGCGTTAAATCAACATTTCAACAATCAAATCCGAGAATTTCAAAATGAAAATTTAGTGGCAACCCTGGAAATCTTTTTGAGGTTGAACTGAACACAAAGGCGTTTTTCGTAGAAGGGCGTTAAGTTTCAATTTACTTTGATGCATTTTCGAAAAATTTAAATGCAGTTTTTTCGACGCATCATTTCAGATTGCGAAAAGCTGCATTTGAATTTTTCAAAAATTCATCAAAGTAAATTGAGCCTTAAGGATGACTATTAAACATAGACCAAAATTTTGGGAGGTCAATGTGCAACAACAGAATATTTGCGTTTTCTTCAGAAATTTGATGGATTTTTTTATGGCAGAAGATGATTTCAGATTTTCTCCCAAATTTGTTTAAAGTGTCTATAGAAACTATTGCTGGTTTTTAAATAGTTTTTCAAGTAAAAAGAGGACGCTTTAAGAAACTATTGATTACCATTGAATATTTAAGGAGGTTGAACTGCAACACTGTGTAAGGTTTCTTTAGAAATATGATTAGTTTTGTTTATGTTTAACTGTGGTAACTGTAAAACTAATAAAAAATCAGTTCTTTTTCGCCGAACAAAACAGTTTTTGACGTAGACGTCTTATGGGAAGATACTGCGGGTAGATCTAAAATCTAAAATTGCGACCGTCACGAAAAGGTGTAAGGTTTTGAAAACTTATAGCTTTGAAATTTACAGATGAAATTATTTCTGTTACACGGTAAAGATTCATAATCGGTGGATAAATTGAACAAGGTGTGGAAAATATAAGTTTACATAAACAAAATACAGTTTTCTGCCACTGTACAACATTTTCAAGACAAATATGTTTTACTTATTTAGAACTATTTAAAAAATCATTTTTGAAAATATCAAGTTAAGTTAAAAAGACAGCTGGCTATGTGTGTGCCATTTTCCATGAATACACCCTCTATTTAAATAAAATTAAAGTTCGTCTCGAATGCTTCAAGCTCCTTGTTTCGTATGTATTGCTGAGTTGGCGGCAGTACATTATTTGCCAGAAACTATCACCCCACTTCAACCGGATCACTAGAGGCTGTTCGTTTCATGAGGCCAGATTATTCGGTTCAATATATGCACGGAGTTATAATATTTACTTAATCTGATTGACCAATAAAAAAAAAATGTAAATGGATAATTAATAAAACCTACACACACAGTTTTGCAATACTCGTCACATAATTTTTTTTATGAGATTTCCTTAGCCTAGTGTCGAGTAACAAATTTAACTGATATCTCAGCCTGCTGAGATTATGCGAAATATTATCCGAAACTCAACAACCACATGTTAGTATAATTAGTAAGGCTGAAGCTTAGCTCTAGTTAATCTCATCATACATTACTGAGCTTTGGAAAATAAAACTACTTGTCTTTTGCGTCATGAACGGTGTAGTAGAAAGAGTTGGAATATTAATCATAATAAATAATGTAATATAACTGAAACATATCGACAGACCAAAGGCAGACAATAAGAACGTTTGCCTAACTAAAAATAAGATTGCCACATTGCCAGTTATGATAAAAAATATGCATTGTAACTAACAAACGTAGCAATTTTCAATGAAAGCTGTGAGTGATAAATTATCTTACGCAGGATATTACACTTTTCTCTGAAATAACGATACAAGGAATAATATAAGCATGTCCCATTGCCCATAAAAGAAGGATAATAAATAGGAATTCAAGTAGAGAAGGGACAGTTATGCTTCTATGGAAAGATAAGTTAATGACTGCAAAATGGCATCACTGAGACCTTAAAGTATAACTGAATTAACCATATTTTCACGTGCTGGCTCATTCTTTTAAAACCAATCTGTGTTCACGATGCACAAAAACGCCTCTCCCTTTCTCTAAATTTGCAATGTTTTTCTTCTCCCTTTTACAGCAAATTGGGTCTCGGTAAGCTGCACGTCTCCTCTAGCCACCACAAGAAGCGATTAGCGGTTGAGTCCCGCCACCACGGTCGACCCGATGACTCACATATGTTCGTGATCAAGCTGCCACCGAATCCCTACTACTACACCAACAATGGACCGGTTCCGGCGCCGAACGCGATCGAGGATGTAGGCAAAAAGGTACGTACATCCGAACCTCTTGAATGCGCACCTACATAGGTATAGCATAAAGGGAAAAATTCCCATTGATTGTCGTGATGCACAGGTTAATCCATAGATTACGGACAGTCAATAGGTCTCCTCACTCTTCGCTAGTGGTCGGTATCACACGCTCATTTGCGTCCATTCAGCCGTGACGAAGGCCTCTTATTCATCGGTGTTTTTATCCCTCATGGGATGTTCAGATTCATGGAAGACGAAATAACAATAAAAAAAAACAAAATGAGCTAGAGAAAACCACAACAACCGAACGACCGATTAGCTATGAACACTCATTCGCCATATCTACAAGTATGATATGGTGTATACAATTTTGTTTGCGAGTTGGATAAAGTAGTCCAAATATTTGCTCAAACTAACGTCAGAATAAAAATGATGCTTGGATCAGGAAATAGTTTACTGTTTTATTATCAATTGATAGCTAATAGCTTCGATAGATAAAATTTTGTTGGATTGGTGACCTTAATAACCCATGATATTGCTGGATGATATTTATGGTCGTTGGTTTGTTTCGTATTCGTTACCATTAAACAATTTGTATTCAAGTTTGAAGTTGTTATTCAGTCCTGGAATGGATCAATTATCTATTATGTTACGGTGTTTCGGTTCTTTTATGATCGTTTTCAAGAACTGGATACATCAATTGAGCTGAAGTAGAAGTCTAGGCTGGCAAAATGTGTGTTTTTTGTGACTTGTTTACTTTTTTTAAGCCGATCATCTAAAGGTTTCAAGTTAATCTGTTTTCAACAAATACTTTCTTTTTTGTTAAAAAATTAATTGATGAACGAATTTTACTGTTCTCAATTAACAGGGGAATTTATTTTTGTGAATTGATATATACGAACGAAGTAGGATAGAACATTAACATGTTCTATATTCAGAGTTGGTTGGAAATGCTAACATGAAGCTTTAGTGTGATGATTTATTAGCTAGAGAATGATCTTTAGAAGAATGTAGGTGGATAGTTCCGTTAGAGTACGGCAGTATGAAAATTGAATAGAAGTTGAAAATGAGCGAAGGGCCATTAAAGCGACAGTTTTCAAGATGACGCACATTTTTGCCTAGCCCGTACGATGTACGCGGGGACTTACGGGCTAGGCAAAAATGTGCGTCATCTTGAAAACTGTCGCTTTAACACTCCGAACACGATGCCTCCGAAAAACGTGTAACGGCAAGTTTGCAACGGCACAACTTAGCCATTTCTAAATGAATTTCAAAAATTATGGTACCTTTAGAATTTCTTAGGTTTCTAGATGATTTTGATTGCAAAAAACTTGAAAATAGAGTCGTCTACTTTTTTAAAAAGCGAAAAGAGTTGTTACACGTTTTTTTGAAAGGTGTGTTTGTAGGGTTTTGCAAGTGGCGCAAGATCTGTAATTTAGATTAATGGGCACAAATGTTCACAATTAGCCAGAATACAGTCATGGTTCCTATATATGGATCCTGGAGACAACGGAACGGTCCTCGAAAAATCCGGAACATCCGTAAAAATGGTCAATCCATGATCCTGATCCTAGAGCTCTGCGGTTTTTTTGAAAACATTAGGAACTGTGATATAAACAAATATTTGGGGTCGTGACATAAACATGAACCTGGATGGCCATGAGACCGTCCTCCGGAAGATCCGGAACATCCGTAAAAGTGGACAATCCATGAATCTGATCCTAGAGCTACGCGTTTTTTTTAACATTAGGATCTGTGATATAAGAATGAATTTGGGTCATGGACCCAGATGGCCATCGGACCGCCAGCGGAAGATCCGGAACATCCGTAAAAGTATTAAATCCACGATCCTGATCCTAGAGCTCCGTTGTTTTCTTGAAAACATTAGGAACTGTGATGATAGAAAGAATTTGGGCTTGTGACATAAACATGAACCTGGATGTCCATAGTACCGTCCTCCGGAAGATCCGGAACATCCATGAAAGTGGTCAAGCAATGAAAATGATCCCAGAGCTCCGCAGTTTTTGAAAAAACACTAAGAACTGAGATGATAGAATGAATTTGGGGTCGTGACATAAACATGGACCTTGATGGGTATGGGACCGGCCTCCGAAAGATCCGGAACATCCGTGAAAGTGGAAAATTCACGAAACTGATCCGAGAGCTCCGTGGTTTTCTTGAAAACGTTAGGAACTGCGATATTAGAATGAATTTTGGATCGTGACATAAACATGGACCCAGATGGCCATCGGACCGTCCTCCGGAAGATCCGAAAATTCCGTAAAAGTGGTCATTGTATGGAACTGATCCTAGAGCTCCACGGTTTTTTTTTCGAAAACACTTGGAACTGTCATATATAAATCAATTTGCAGTCGTGACATAAACATGTACCCAGAAGGCCATGGGACCATCCTCCGCAAGATCTAGAACATCTTTGAAAATGGTCAACCCTCGAAACTGATTCTAGAGTTCTACGGTTTTTTCGAAAGCATGTGGTATAAGAAAGAATTCGGGGTCATGACATAAACACGTACCGGAGACGAACCAGCCCAGGGCTGAAAGTCTCCTTAATAAAGATAAAATACACGGACCTGGATGGCCATAGGACCGTCCTCCGGAAGATACGGAACATCCGTAAAAGTGATCCAGAGGTTTCTTATATCACAGTGTTTAAAAAAGAGCTGCAGAGCTCTAGGATCAGTTTCACAGTATGATAAATTTACGGATGTTCCAGATCTTTTGAAGGACAGTCTCATGGCCATCCGGATCCATGTTTATGTCACGACCCTAAATTCTATCTTAAATCGCAGTTCCAAGAGTTTTCGAAAAAAAACCACGGTTTTTTCACAGTTTCATCGATGATCCACTTTTACGGATGATCAGGATCTTCTGGAGGACGTTCCAATGGCCATCCAGGTTCATTTTTACGGATCTTCCGGAGGACTGTCCCATGGTCATTCGGTTCCATGTTTATGTTAAGACTCCAAATTCATTCTAATATCACAGTTCCACGGTTTTTCGTTCTTGGATCAATTTTATGGCTTGCAATCGGGCTAAGGTCTTGTTGTCCTCTGCTGTCCGAAGAAGTCGTCTCCACTCTACTCGATCCATGGCCAGACTTTGCCAGCCTCGTAGTCTGCGAAGGGTCCGCAGGTCACCTTCTACTTGGTCGATCCATCTTGCGCGCTGCGCGCCTCTTCTTCTTGTTCCTGTTGGGGCGCTTTCGAGAACCATTTTCACTGGGTCGTTGTGCGGCATTCTTACGACATGCCCAGCCTACCGTAGTCGCCCAATTTTTGCAATGTGAACGATGGATGGTTCTCCCAACAGCTGGTGCAATTCTTGGTTCATTCGCTTCCTCCACGTTCCGTCATCCAAGGGCGCGTTTGTCCTCCACGAGCATAGTCACGGTCTCGTGGCAGTAGACGACCACCAGTCTATCTTGTAGATAGTCAACTTCGTGGCGAATTTTATTCGACCGGAGCGTCCTCCGGAGTCCAAAGTAGGCACGATTCCCTGCCATAATGCGTCTTTGAAATTCTCTGCTGGTATCATTTTCGACGGTCACCAGTGAGCCCAAATACACGAACTCATCGACCACCTCGATTTCGTCACCGTCAATCTGAACTCGGGGTGGGAGGCTAACATTGTCTTCCCTAGAACCTCTTCCTTTCATGTATTTTGTGTTTAATGCGTTGATGGCAAGTCCAATCCACCTAGCTTCAGCCTTCAGTCTGATGTACGTTTCCGCCTTCGTCTCAAAGTTCCGTGCCATGATGTCGATGTCATCGGTGAAGCCAAGAAGCTGTCTTGATACTCGTGTCTATCCCAACTCTTCTGATCACACCTTCTAACGCGATGTTGAATAGCAGACACAAAAGTCCATCACCTTGCCGTAACCCCCTTCGAGATTCAAAGGGACTCGAGAGTGTCACTCGATGCATCGTTGCCTTGACCAATCGCGTCAGTTTATCTGGAAATCCGTACTCGTGCATAATCTGCCATAGCTGATCACGATCGATTGTGTCGTATGCGGATTTGAAATCGATGAACAAATGATGTGTAAGCAAGTTGTATTTGTGGCATTTCTGCAGAACCTGCCGAATCGCGAATATGAACCCATGAATTCCTGCTGGTATTGCCCAAGAAATCTCTTGCAAATGGTGACAGGCGGCGGCGTATAATTTGGGAGAGTACCTTGTAAGCGGCGCTCAGCAGTGTGATCACGCGGTAGTTGCAGCAATCCAACTTGTCGCCCTTTTTATAGATTGGGCATACAACACCTTACTTCACTCCTCCGGTAATATCCCCTCCTTCCAAATCTTGACAATTACCCAGTGCAGCGCTCTAGCCAGTGCTTCACCACCGTATTTTAATAGCTCACTTGGTTGTTGATCTACACCAGTTGCTTTGTTGTTCTTCAGTCGACCGATCTCCTCCTTAACTTCTTGAAGATCAGGGGCCAGTAGCCTGTCGTCTCCTGCACGTGCATCCAAGGTCTGTTGCCGTGCCACCTTCGTTTTCTGCTGCATCACCGTTGAGGTGCTCGTCATAGTAATGCTTCACCCTCTCATTTTACGGATGTTGTTGGTCTTCCGGACGACGGTCCCATGGCTATCTGGGTACATGTTTAAGTCACGATCACAAATTCATTCTTATATCACAGTTCCTAATGTTTAGGTTCAGTTTCATTGATTAACCTCTTTTACGGATGTTCTGGACTTACCAGAGGTTGGCACCATGGTCATTTGAGTCCATGTTTATGTCATGACCCCAAAATATTACTTATATCGCAGTTCCACATGCTTTCGAAAAAACCGTAGAACTCTAGAATCAGTTTCGAGGGTTGACCATTTTCAAAGATGTTCTAGATCTTGCGGAGGATGGTCCCATGGCCTTCTGGGTACATGTTTATGTCACGACTGCAAATTGATTTATATATGACAGTTCCAAGTGTTTTCGAAAAAAAAAACCGTGGAGCTCTAGGATCAGTTCCATACATTGTCCACTTTTATGGATTTTTCGGATCTTCCGGAGGACGTTCCGATGGCCATCTGGGTCCATGTTTATGTT